TTTGGCGCCGCAAGCCGTGGGAGGGGAGGAGAATTAGAGCGGGGGCGGCATGCTCGGGAAGGAGGCAGAGCAGAGGTGAGCTGGGGTGAGGAGCTGCTGTACGGCTCCCTGGGCCGGGGGGGTGGGGAGCTGCCGCGGGGGTGCCTCAGGGTGGGGGGGGAGGAGCTGTCGCAGGGCTCCCCACGCCAGCTCACCTCTGCTACGCCCCCTCCCCGAGCACGCCATCGCTGCTCCACTTCTCCCACCTCCCAGACCAATCAGCTGTTTGGCGCCGCAAGCCTGGGAGGGGAGAAGTGGAGCGGCGACCGCTCGCTCGGGAAGGGGGCGTAGGAACGCTGTAAAAAAAATTGGGGGCACTGCTTTTTGGCGCCCCCAAATCTTGGCACCCTAGGCAACCGCCTAGTTTGCCTAAATGGTAGCACTGGCCCTGCCGCCAGAGGTTCCTGGCAGTATTATGCTTACAGCTTTGCAGTTACTCCAGCTTTATCACGACTGGGCTGCTAACTTGCAGCGAATGATGTTTTGTCCCCCTGAGCATTATTTTCTTTAACAATGGAATGATTTATGAATATGTGTATCTTTCTGATACTGTACTGACCAGTTTATGATAACATGGGTGTTTCCTCATGTCAGAAAAAGTTTTACTTATAAATCTGCACACTGATGTAGTGGTAGCTTTTTTTTTTTCCTGCAGAAATGGAGGCGTGCACCTTTGAGTCTTATCCACAGGCAATCAAGCTACAGGCAATCAACTAAGGATCGCTTTCCCTGTGAATCTATTAAGTGCATTCCTGCATGAATGAGTATGATATAATGTCACCCACTCTACGGGTTGCAGATGAAGGTTGAGACAAAGGGGGGAAGTGAAGGTAATTCCCCAGAAAAGTATTTTCAACTTCACAGTGAATGCTTTTAGAGTAAAGCAACTGTGGTAGACAAAACTTAGACAATTAAAACGTAAGAACTTAGAGATTTTAAGGAGTGTAATGTCGGCTAGAGTATTTATACTTCAGGTGAAACAACAAAAGATATTTGATGGATATGACTGCAAGTAAGATTTTTCTGACTTTTGTTTGGTAAACTGGAGCTCAAGTCTATGGGCCAGATCCTCAACCCTTGTAAATAGCACAGCTCCATAGAGTGCAATGGAGCTATGCCAATTTACACCAGTTGAGGATCTAGCCTTTCAATTATATTTAGTCTCTAGAACCACTTATTCCATTTAATTTTCAAATAAAGAAACACTAGGACAATTGTGAAAAATTGTCTATGAAGTTATTGTTTAATTACTCCTAAATCTTTACTTAGAAATTGTCACAGGCCAAAACTGAAATGTATTTGATTTCTTACATTATTATTTTATTATATAACACCTTCTCATCAAACAATCACTAGATATAATAGTGCAGACTGATTCTTTTAATTTACTTTTTTTTAATGGGTTGCGATATTATCATAAAATACTAGACTCTAAGGGCCTGGACTTATCCAAAGTCCAGACATGGTACATAACTCTGTCAAAAATCCCAAGAAATTGGGACTCTAGTGACTTGGAGAGATTTTACAGATGTCAAAGAAGCGATGACTGCTAATCATGCAAGGTGAACAATCA